TACTTTTAATATTATTTACTTTCAAAAAGTGATCTAAATATTTCAAAATATTAATATTTGTTAAATCTGAGTGGTGAATACATAACTTTCCCATTTTTGAAAGTTTTTATAACTGTATATAATTTCAGAGAACATTTCACTTAGGGTATAATTTATAATAATTATGGGAATAATGTTTCCTATGGAAAGTAGAAATACATTTCATGTTTGAGAAATGATCAATGAATGAACATCTTGGGTTCTAGAAAGACTGTTACGAAAAGGAAACAGAAAAAAATCCCAACCGTCCCCCCTGTACACCACCCATTTACCTACTAGTCTTTGACTCCATGTACTTGCAACAGTATTCCTTTCCTGGCAAGACAGAAGAATGGCCAAAATAAAAATAACTTCAGGACCACAATTTGGAGGTGGTCCAGACATAGGTAAGAAGCAGCAATAAAATGTGAATTTATGACTAGGTCACCCTGCCAAGCATATCTACCTAGAGGGAAGAGACTCAGAACAGAAAAATACTACACTACACATTAACAGCATCCTTTGGTTTCAAACTGTCAACATGCTGGCTTCTAGGAATAAAGCTATCCTGAAAGTTAGAAGAGTCCTATGATTGCTCTCTTGAACCAAAGAGAATGTGCAGTGCTTCCTCAGGATAAGTTAAGCAGCTGCTTTAAGTAGCACAAAGCCATCGAAGAGAAACACTTTGAGTATGGTGAGAGCAGGTGCAGTGGGCTGAATGGTGTCCCCAAAAGATGTCAAGTCCTAATCTTTGGAACTGTGTTACCTTATATGTATATTACAGGTTTTGCAAGTGTGATTAAGGATTCTGAGATGAGATTATACTGATGGTCCTGAAAAGTATTCTTAGAGGGGATGATAAATTAGGCATACAGAGGAGAACTTGATATGAAGAAAAAATCAGTTTGGAGTGATATGGCCATAATTCAAGGGAATCCTGGATCCACCAGAAGCTAAAAGATGTGGATTTCTTCCCTAGAGCCTCTCACTCTTTAATTAGGCCTCTCCAGAATATGCTACCATTGTTTTAAGTCAGGCTGTGGTAGTTCATTGGAGCAGACACAGGAAATTAATACAGCAGTGAACTACAGAAACAGTCTTAAAGTCTCCTAGTAGAAAAAAACTAACCTTCATGCTAAACTGTTTCCCACTAGTTTTTGAAAAGACAGAGAAG